GAGGACGTGGGGGGGCTGCAGGTGTCGGGGAATGTGGGGGAACTTGGGGGACATGTAGGTCATGAGGGACCTGGAGGACATAGGGGGCATGGAGGACAAGAGGAGACTTGGGAGATATGGGGAGACTTGGGGGACCTGGAGGGGTACGGGGGCATGGAGAGCATAGGGGATATGGGGGACAGGGAGGGTCATGGGGGACAGGGAGGGACAGGAGACGTGAAGAGGCGTGGGGGAACGTGGAGGAGGACTTGGGGGATGTGGAGGGACACAAAGGACTTAGGACATGGGAGGCATGGAGGGACGTGGAGGACATGGAGGGTATAGGGGACGTGGAGGATGGGAAGGGATTTGGGAGACGTGGAGGGACAGGGGGCGTGGAGGGGCAAAGGGGACAAGGGGAGACTTTGGGGACGTGGAGGGACACAGGGCATGAGGGAACTTGGACATGGAGGGACTTAGGGGACATGGGACACGGGGCATGGAGGGACACAGGGGACTTGAGACTTGGAAGACATGGAGGGACACGTGGGACTTGGGGGACATCGAGGAGCACCGGGGCCTTGCTAGGCTGCGATGGCGCGCAGGGAGGAGTGCCCCCCGTCCCCTCACGATCCCCTCATCCCCAGACCTCTCGGACGCCTCGGTGCTGGGGCACACGGAGGACTGGCAGGAGGGCATGGAGGGTGCCACGCTGACCTGCCTGGGTGACGGCAACCCTCCTCCCACCTACAACTGGACACGGTAAGGACACACGTGTGCTGGGACAGGGTGCAGCGCCTGGGGTGGGGGAGTGACCCTGGGTGCAGCTGTGGGGGCTGCAGAGCAAGATGGGACCCAGGTGTCTGGTTGGGGGTGTCACAGAGACGACGGGGGCTGGTTGGAGCACCCAGGTGGGAGTCACGTGTAAATGGCGTGTATGTCTCCCGTGCATGTGTGTTCGTGGCTCCTTGTGCGACGCCCTGCATGGGGGAAACTTGGGTCCCCGTGCGGGGAACACGCGCGTGGCCACGAAGGCGTGAGCGCATCCATGTGCTTGCACACGCATGTGAACTTGCACATGCATGTGAGCTGGATGCCCAGTGACAGGCATGTGTGGTCCTTGTGCACACGGCTGTGTCCCTGCTCCAGTGTGTGCACTTCTGTCCCTTGCATGTGTCGGTGTCCGTGCTGTGCTGCGTGTCCCTGTAGCGCTGTGTCTTTTGCACCCATTTGTGTTCCTGTCGTGCTGTGTGCACCTTGCACATGTCTGTGTCCTTGCTGTGCCCTTGTGCCTTGCATACATCTGTGTCCCTGCTGTGTCCCATGCACACCTCCATGTCCTTGCCGTGTTCCTAGTGCATGGCAGTGTCCCTGCTGTGCTGCGTATGCCTGCCACGCTGCATAACCTGCGTGTACATGTGTCCCTGCCACGCTGTGTCCGTGCACACATCTATGTCCTTGCCGTGTCCTATGCATATGTCAGTGTCCGTCATGCCAGATGTCCTATGCACACGTCTGTGTTCCTGCTGTGTCCCGTGTATGCATCCCTGTCCCTGTTGTGCCATCTGTCCCGTGCACGGATCCATGTCCCTGCTGTGTGTCCTTTGCATGCATCCGTGTCCCCGCCATGTGTGCTGTGCCCGCGTCTGTGCCCGGGCCC